CATTCATCCATCCATCATTCATCCATCCATCATTCATTCATCCATCCATCCTTCATCATTCATCCATCCATCATTCATTCATCTGTAATATGAACATATGCTGTCATATATTCATACATTAAACGGATTCTTTCATTTTTCTGGACTGTACAATGACGTGCATCTGAATTTAATAAAATGTGGACGTGAGACGTTAATTCTCTTTGACTCACCAACGACAGTGGGTCATTTATTAACAGAATCAAGTTTAACACATCACACATTTACATTAATTGGCAAGAATTGAAAATAACGACAGCTTATTAATCAGTTTACAGGAAGTAAACAATACAGCGATTGTTCTCACTTCCAGTGGTACAACAAACGTCAACCACACGGCGGTGGTTGAAAAACTTTGCTTCAGACATTTCTAAAAATATCTGTAATGATTTTTAGCAGATAGAAGAATTTTAAAGATGGGAAATGAAGTTTAAGTTGAGAGAGATGTGTGAGGGAATTTGTCTGTCCTAACCAGAAACAGCACGCTCCTTCTAGACCAGCTTGTCCCAACGGTACGCTTTGGTTGAGATCGACTCTTTTACCTTTGCAGATGATAGTTTCAGCGTTGGTGTAGAGCTCTCCTTTCAACTCTTTCAGCGTCTCCGTAAGAACAGCTAAACCTCGGGAGTCGTGAGATTGTCCAGAACAGAAATTTCATAATTCCCAGATCTTCTCTGGTTCAGCTTGATTTTCTTTCATCAGCATCCTGAATTCCAGCCTTCATGAACTCTGGAACCTCTTGCAGAACTCTCCATCATCAGCTGACTGGAGGTGGAACCTCTTGCAGAACTCTCCATCATCAGCTGACTGGAGGTGGAACCTCTTGCAGAACTCCCCATCATCAGCTGACTGGAGGTGGAACCTCTTGCAGAACTCTCCATCATCAGCTGACTCTAGCTGGGTTGAACTAGGAAGTACCAACATTTAAAGAAAGCTCACTTTCGGTTCATTTGAGAACTTTCTGATTGGTCCATGGACCAAAACAGAGGTGTGTTTTGTGATGTAAGGTGTTATGAAAAGTCAAGGAAAAAGATTAAGATTGTTTAAGAACAGACAGAAGATTGTTATGAAGAATTCAGACTTCGTGGAGTCACTTCTCTAGTATCTTGCTGTAAAAGTTAAACATGACATTTCTTTTTCAGTAAACTTGCAGTTGACCGAAACTTGAACTTTGACCAACTTACACACTTGCTCATTTCAAACAGACGATCAAGAAATTGAATCATTACTCTGTAACATATTCCAACTTGATTTCACTTTGAATGAGGATTAAGAATCATTATTACTGTTTCACAATTAATAAAAATGAGTAGTTCACTTCAACATGTAAACATTGTTTGAACTAACACAATTTGATTATCAAAACATTTGTAAAATAGTAATGATAATCGAAAGTAGTGTTCTTTCACTTGATTAATTCAAGAAAGAAAGTCTCAGGATGGGTCAACCTGTATTTCTGGATTCAAATCAATGAAATGACAAGTTCTGTCCCATAAGGTCCTTAAGGTCAAATCCTGACCTTAGGTCTAGTTCACTACACATCCATCATTCAGTCATCCATCCATCATTCATTCATCCATCCATCATTCATTCATCCATCCATCAATCATTCATCCATCATTCATCCATCCATCATTCATTCATCCATCCAACATTCATTCATCCATCCATCAATCATTCATCCATCCATCATTCATCCATCCATTAATCATTCATCCATCATTCATTCATTCATCCATCCATCCATCCTTCATTCATCCATCCATCATCATTCATCCATCATCCATCCATCCTTCATTCATCCTAGTTTTTAAATTGCTTAAAAGTGTAATTTTCTCAAATGCCAGTATTAATGTGTGGGGGCCAAGGCCACCATTAGCCACCCCCTTGCACCTGGCTGTGATAAATCTGCTGCACGGTGCGACTCCTCCACTTGAGTGTCTTGCAGCAAAAACATTTAGGTTTACTTACATTCCCTGTTCAGTTCCAGTCCAGAAAAACACTCATTTGAAAACTCCGGTACAAACATTCACTGTTCAAGTCCCTCAGAGACCTTGTGGAGTCTGATCAATTCAAGATGGCTGCCACAGCCAGTTGACATGTTGGGACACCAATCAAACGCTCCATGTGGTGGTAGCTGAGAGTCATCTGCAGGCTTTATTTACAACTTACAAGTACAAGAGTTAAACCATTAAAGAAAAAACATTTATTTGTTTAGAACAAGCTCAAAATGCATCTTCAGAACAGGAAGTTTTATTCTAATAGGATTTATCCAAAAAGATTCAATAGCTAAACATTTCTTGTTTCATTTGTTCTCCACACATTTCATTCTTCTGCATTGGACTTCAGGCCAGAACCATGTTCTGCAGCTTCAACATGTACATGTACACAAAACATGGACATGTACACAAAACATGTACATGTACACAAATGTTCTGCAGCTTCAACATGTACATGTACACAAAACATGGACATGTACACAAAACATGTACATGTACACAAATGTTCTGCAGCTTCAACACACATGTTTCAGACGGCTCCAGTTAAACAAAAACTGGTTTACTAGCTAAATGCATGCTAAAATAAAAAACATGTAAGTTTGATTTAACAGACATGAAGAGCAGGGATTGAGTTTCATCTTCTGAGGAATCAGAATGATCTTTGAGCGAACAACAAAACTTGTTGCAGCTTTTATTACTGAGAGTCGTTAGAAGAGTCTTGTTGTGAACGTGTAACAAAGTCTGGATTAATCGCACATAAAAAACACTTAATGTTTTATTGTGTCATGGTCACATCTCTTATAACTTAAGAACACTGATTTGCTTTCTTGCAGCCTCTTCTTTGACGTGATTGATGCCTCATGTCGGTTAACGGCTAAAGCAAAGAGCTGACGGCTAGAGCTCTGACGGCTAAAGCAAAGAGCTGACGGCTAAAGCAAAGAGCTGACGGCTAAAGCAAAGAGCTGACGGCTAAAGCAAAGAGCTGACGGCTAAAGCAAAGAGCTGACGGCTAAAGC